CTTATCACTGAAAACAGTTTTTTCACTCAAGTTGATGCAGGGTAACTTCAGAGGACACCTCGAGATCCTCAAGGACCCATGTCTAAATCACCTGATTGAAATTAAAACGGACCTCATACCGACGGAATACAATTTGAACCAACCGTATAAGGTCATATTTAGTAGCAGGGATGATTGAGGCCTCAACTAAAAAGAGGAGCCCTAGCCTGGTACACCGATGCTTCAAAGACAGTAAGATCTGGAGTAGGCATGGGCATCAGTGGACCAAATAGCCACATCAAATTGCCCCTCAGCTCAGACTCAACAATTTTCCAAGCAGAAGTTCTTGCTATAAACTTCTGCACCGCTTTGAACCTACAGAAAGGACAAAAAGGTGCATCCATAAACATTTTCACAGACAGTCGGGCCGCCTTAACGGCAATTCAAGCCTACACGTGTGACTCCGCATTAATCAGAGAGTGTATCAGCAACCTGAGAGAACTCGCAATAATGTTACCCTATGGTGGGTTCCAGGTCACAGCAACAGTGAGGGCTATGAGAAGGCCGACAAGCTGGCCAAAGAGGCAGCAAACACGCCCTTCATTGGACCCCAACCTGGATGTGGACTACAAAAAAGCCACCTAAAACAAATAATCAATAACTGGGAGGCTTCAAAGATAGCCTTACGCTGGAAAGAACTTCCAGGTCACAGACAAGCGAAGAGTATGATAACTCCGTCGCAAAACAAAACCAAAGAGGTTTTATGCCTCAGCAAAGGGGATCTAAGAACGCTCTCAGGCTACCTGACCGGCTATGTGCCCCTAAAATACCACCTCTTCCACATTGAATAAGCTGAGGATCAAACTTGTCGACTATGCAACGACGAGTCAGAAACTGCTGAACATATACTGTGCAATTGCGTCGCCAGAGGCCGTCTAAGGCACAACGTCTTCGGTAAAACTCCTACCGACATAAAGGTTCAAGACCTCAGGACAATACTAAGGTTCATTAAGGGCCTACATTTGCCCTAAACCTTTGGAGGGCTAAAGTTACAATAGATCTTATAGGTCGCGGTAACGAGAGGGGCCGCTCTCCTCAACCCGGTAGCAATAATAATAATCATCTACCTACTGGCATTGACTATTGTCTGACGTAGTTTCAAAGCAAAATCGGAAAAAATGTCAACAATTGAATATCTCAGGAACTACGAACACTGTGAAATAGTAACATATACAGTTGTATAAACAAATTTAGTTGTATTCATAATATGATAAAATATACAGGGTGTTCCATTTAAATAAATATATACAGGTGTCTCAGCGAGACCGGTCATTAGACGTTTTCTGGGGTTCTGGCCAAACAAAAAATTTGAGAATGCAGACTTAAGTATTATCAATTACGTTCTCTTCATCTAAAATATTTTCCGATTTCTAGCACTTTCGGTTATACCGGAAGTCGCCACCTACTTTATTTTTTTAAATGGAACACCCTGTATATTTTTACATATTTGGATTTGTCTGTTTTCAAGGTTTATAAATAACTTTACTTTTTGCAATTTGATTCGGTCGTTCTCGAGTTATTCGAATTTTTCTAGAAAAATCTGCTCCAGCAGACATTTGTTCAAAAAATCAGAAAACACTCAATTTTTGGGATATCAATTTAGGATTGAGAACATGCTTAAGCAACATGATGGAGTATGTTTTGGTGCCGAGAACTGCGGTCTAGAACGTTTGATCACTTTACTATGGCACGTTAACTTTTCAAAATTTGGAAGTACCATAACTTCATTTTTTTAAATGGCACCCCCCATATTTTATTTTTTAGTCGTCTTCGGTGTCTCATTCTACATCTTTTATATCCCATATGACCCATACCTAATATTAATAGTTTGGGAGATAATTAGGGTTTTTTGAAAAATGCACACATATCATATGGATATTTAGCCTAGTGTGCCATGAAAAACAAGCCTTCTCAATGAGTTCTTGTCAAAGACTCACTTGTTTACGTCACTTGATGCATGTGAGCTAATAATTATCTGTTATGTCCCTTAATATTAGTACTGAAACGAGTTAAAATCGATAACAATAACGAAAGTAATATTTACACAAATCAAGAAATTCTTAATTTATTTTTTTTGCATGAAAAGCGCGACAAAGTTCGTAGTATGATTCCCAGATCTTCTTTGGCAGCTCGAATTGAGGTGTTGGGACTGGGCTCGAAATAAGCCAAGGTATTCACCTCTTCCGTTGCATTATCTACTACATTTTTTGGTCAGTTTAACACGTGATTAATTCGTCCAAAATGCAAAAAATTTGCTTCTATTCCTCTAAATTTACCTTTTGTCATCGGAGATAAATGTGGATAATTTTCATTAAACATTCTGCAAGTTCTACTAAGAACTTTGTCGCACTTTTCGTGCACAAAAAATAAATTATGGATTTCTTCATTTGTATAAACATTATTTACGTTATTAATATCCATTTTAACTGGTTTTAGACTCACAAGCATCAAACAACCTAAATTAGACTTTGACGTTTATCAATAAGTCATTAAACATTTGTTTTCCATGGCACACTAGGTTAATATCCATATGATATGTGAGCATTTTTCAAAAAACCCTAATTATTTCTCAAACTATTAATGTTAGGCATAGGACATATGGAATATAAAAGATGTAAAATGAGACGCCGAAGACGACTAAGTAATAAAATATGGGGGGTGCCATTTAAAAAAATGAAGTTATGGTGCTTCCAAATTTCGAAAAGTTAACGTATCATAGTAAAGTGACCAAACGATCTAGACAGCCGTTCTCGGCACCAAAACATACTCCATCATGTTGTTTAAGCATGTTCTGAATCCTAAATTGATATCTCAAAAATTGAGTGTTCTATGATTTTTTGAACAAATGTTCGCTGGAGCAAATTTTTCTAGAAAAATTCGAATAACTCGAGAATTGCTGGTTCAAATTGCAAAAAGTAAAGTTATTTATAAACCTTGAAAACAGACAAATCCAAATATGTAAAAATATACAGGGTGTTCCATTTAAAAAAATAAAGTAGGTGGCGACTTCCGGTATAACCGAAAATGCTAGAAATCTGAAAATATTTTAGATGAAGAGAACGTAATTGATAATAAGTCTGCATTCTCAAATTTTTTGTTTGGCCAGAACCCCAGAAACGTCTAATGACCGGTCTCGCTGAGACACCCTGTATACTCTCCGTTACGCTTAAATGGAACACCCTGTGTGAGTGAAAATAATTTTGCGTTATAGAAAGTCGTGAGTTAAACAACTTTTGTATAAAAAATTTTTTTGTTTTTCAAACGGTTTAGCAAATAACTCACCCTGTATAATAACTCATCTTGAGCAGTAAATCTTTGTATGAAACTCATGATCATAACGTTATCTTTATCTTACACATTAACATATTGTCCTGATGGTGGCGATTAATCGCCGAAAGCGGTTAATAATGAAATATTAAGAAATTTTCGAAATTTTTTCGATTAGAAAAATTATTAAGATGAGATTGAATGTTTTAAAATGTCTTGTAACATAACATCGCGGTGTAAAAGTGCAAGGCCACACGATACACACCACTCCTTTTAAGAGTTTTTCCTTGTCAATTACTTTCTAGTGCCAATCCCACTCTTCTCTACACACTTCTTGGCCTTTGTCCAATAAGTTAACTTCTTAACTTCGCCGACCGAGAAATTTCGACAATGCCTTTCTTACAAAACGATCCCTCGTTTCATTTTAATCGTTTCACCTCTTTAACAGCTCATTTTTGTACCATTTTCTTGCTTAACAATGCGGTTTTATTAATTTTTTTTATGGAACAAAGAAAATTATTCTAATCAAAAAAGTAAATAAAGAAATCGTTGTTGTTGCATAACGGTTGAGTTGTTTAGTAAATAGTTGGCGAGGTGTTTTGATGCGGCCTTGAACCAAATCGGGTGTCCGTCTTTTTTAATTGCCACCTTCCACCTGAAATGACGATGACGATGACGATGACGATGAAGGCAAATTGAAATTGAAGGCAAATTGGTCGATTTACTCGTTTGTTGTTTTGCTATTGCGATCGACTTGGATAATCGAAGGTTGAAATTAACATTTTTATTCTTGAAAAATGGTTCAAACAGATGGTTTAATTTTTTTTATCTAGTTTGAACCCCCTTTCTATAAATAAAGTTTAAACGAATCTGTATTGTTCAATAATTGCCAATTGAAACGTCCAGTTTAAAATACACGATGTATTTCCTATTCACAGAGAGGTCTTTACTCTTTATCCTTCCTGTTTTTATTAAATTAATTTTTTTTTTAATTATTGAAACCGTAAAATATTTTGAAATAATGTTGAAACCTCAATTTCAAATTAATTTATGATTCATAATGATTTCTTAAACAATCCATGAAGCAATTTGAAATTTATTTTTTTTCTAATCAAGGTTGTTTTCAATCTCAAAAAACAAAGAAAATCCATATCATTTTTTAGTTACATCATCATTATGATTAATAACCTTGCTTAGATGGTAACCTTGTCCTTGATATTGACACTGAGATGTTAGGATGTTTTTAAAAATATCTTAACAACAACGCGCTATAAACATTTAATTCTCACCTTACATAACAACTCTAAGCTAAGCCAATAAAACGAAATTTACCACAAAATGGATTATTTATTTATTTATTTTTTTTATTTTCATTTGGTAAGGCAAAGATAATTAAAGGGGGCAATCTTGTTAACGGTGCTTGGCTTATTGGATTAGGAGACTGATTTCTGGTCTCCCTCGGTAATCTCGTTTAAGTTCAGCCTCGGATGACGCGCGTCATCTTTGCCCTAATTATCAAAATTTAATAAAAAACGTTTTTTTAAACTTAGCAAAAAAAGAAATAATACATTTTCTTGTAGTACTTTTAATTTTTTTTTAATTGATAAATATTCAAACAAGTCCTCGGTTTATTGTTGTTATTGTTACTGTTAAAACATAAACAAGTCTTTCTTTTATTGAAAAATCTCGCTTACCTTGTAGAAGAAATCTCCGTGTAGCTCAAGTACAACTTTTATTTATTTCTTTATTTAATAACACTTAAGATTAAAAAAAAATTGTATAAAAAAAATTATGATTAATTAAAAAAAAATTAAAAAATCGAGGATACCTCAAATAAAAATCTACAAAAACTATTTTATTGATAAATATTAAATTACAGTTTATTATACAGCGTTCTTTTTTGTCGTCTTTTCAGGAGTTCGAAACACCCCGCGCGAAACACATCCAAATCGCGCGGAAACCGAACGCGAACTGAAACTCAGTTCTTGATTTTCTACAATTACCAGAGCGGTGCCAGTAGCAGAGCAATAGAGAAGAACTCGGAAATGGTCGTTTCACCTCGGTTTTCATCGACCTAATCTGAAAAATAATTTCGGTAAGTTTAGATAATCCATACTTATTTCATATTTATCAATCACTAGATTTTAGTGATATAGCATAAACCACAAAATGTCAAAATTGGACGATTTTTCTTAATAAAATCAACTGTAACATAAGTACTAAAAGTGATGGAGAAAAACGTTTTGAATAAAAAACATTCGTGATGTATCAATAAATCATGATCCATACTTATTTCATATTTATCTATCGCCAGTTTCTTGTGATATAGCACAAATCACAAAATGTCACAATTTGACGATTTTTCTTAATAAAATCAACTATAATAACATAACAACTAAAACTGATGGAGAAAGATGTTATGAATAAAAAATATTCCTAATGCACCAAGAAATCATAATTCACACTTATGTCATATTTACCTATCACTAGTTTTTTGTGATATAGTATAAATCACAAAATGTCAAAACTGAACGATTTTTCTTAATAAAATCAACTGTAACATAAGTACTAAAAGTGATGGAGAAAAACGTTATGAATAAAAAACATTCCTGATGTATCAATAAATCATGATCCATACTTATTTCATATTTATCTATCGCCAGTTTCTTGTGATATAGCACAAATCACAAAACGTCAAAATAAGACGATTTTTCTTAATAAAGTTAACTGTAACATAAGTAATAAAAGTGATGGAGAAAAACGTTATGAATAAAAAACATTCCTGATGCATCAATAAATCATGATCCATACTTATTTCATAGTTATATATCGCCGGTTTCTTGTGATATAGCACAAATCACAAAACGTCAAAATAAGACGATTTTTCTTAATAAAATCAACTATAACGTAAATACTATAGGTGATGAAGAAAGACGTTATGAATAAAAAATATAGCAATGCATCAATAAATCATAATCCATAATTATTTTATATTTGTCTATCATCAGTTTCTAGTGACATAGCATAAATCACAAAATGTCACAATTTGACGATTTTTCTTAATAAAATCAACTGCAACTTAAGTACTATTATTGACGGAGAAAGACGTGTTGATTAAAAAATATTCCTTATGCATCAATAAATCATGATCCATACTTATTTCATATCTATCTATCACCAGTTTCTAGTAATATAGCATAAATCACAAAACTTCAAAATTGGATGGTTTTTCTTTATAAAATCAACTATAACGTAAATACTACTATGTATAACTTCTTCGCCATGGTCTTATTCGCATTAGTTTTATATCCTCATCTACATCGTCAAGGTATCTCAGTTGCAGTCTTTTTTTCCAACCGGTCTGTTCAATATTGCTATCTTGTGGGTTCATCTTCCTCCATTCTTATCACATGACCCACCAATCTCAAGCGGTTGATTTTGATAAATTTAACCAGATCCGTGTCGTTGTATGCATGATGTAATTCGAAGTTGTAAAGATAGTGCGGTTGGCAAGCACCCAAGTTTCTGATTCATATCGGTCGTATTAATATTTTGTATAGTTTACATTTTGTCTGCCTGGACAAATTTCGCGACCTTAGCTGAGGGGATAGGTCAAAGTAGCATCTGTTCGCCATGAATATCCTTTTCTTTATTTCCTTAACTGTCTATTAATATCCCCAGAACAGAAAATTTTCCACCACCTCCAATAGTTCATCTTCAATCTTTATTATATCCTTGGTTCACCTATAATTCACATATCACCTTTTCAAGGGCAAGGTTAAAGAGATTAATCTTTATCAGACAGCCTGGCATCTCGAATTCTGTCATTATAGTATAACTTTACTCTATCAACCGTTATAGTTAACGCATCGTATACATCTCCCTTCATGTGTACCGGGCATATAATTCCTTCTGGCATGTTGTGTTCCTGCTATATTTATATCAACAGTTCGTGGAAGTGTGAAATGAACGTCTGGCCACTGTGTTTAAGGAGTTCTGACGTCAGATTTCGGCGATTTATCATTTACTAGTGATTTGAGTACTACCCCTTTCATTTCTTCAACCGTGGGTGGGTGATTTGTATTTGGCTGTGCATAATCTTCTTGCTCACTGTTAAAGCGTAGCAATGTGTTGAAGTGGTCCTGCCATCTTCTCAATAATCAGTGTTTCATCAACGTCGTAATCTGTTTTATCTTTAAGAGTGTCCAGTTCGATACAAAAGTAATCGTTTCAAAAATATTTCGAATTTCTCATTAAAACAATAAATCTTGACGTAAACCCATCGTTTCTTGTATAATTAAACAATATTAACCCAGGTGAACGTCTAGATAATGTAATACGGCTCCTTTAACGACTCTGGGACCCCTGAATCCTTAAGTTAGGTTATAAACACTCCTGAAATGACTGCAAGGGTTGACTTTAAGGGGGTCGCGTTGAAAGACGAACTGAGAAAATGGGGTTTAATTAAACTTAAAATATGATCAGTTCTTATTTTTAATTTTTTGTATATTTCTTTTTGAAACTTGATTATAATTAAATTTTCTTTAAAGCTCCTTGATTGCTAGCTTTTACCTTAAAGCTCGTCGTCTTTTAAAAGCTTCGTTTTAAATCTTTAAAAGGATTTTTTTTGTTTTTACTTCTGTATTAAATCTGGAATTGTTCGTTATGATTAATTAATGATTTTTTTTTCTTTATCTTAATTTTGAACCATTCACAAAGAAAAAATATATCCGAACGGTTTTCTTTTTCCTATTTTTTATGGGATATTTACAGAAATGCCAGAGACAGTTATTGCTCTTATACTTTGGGGGATAAATTGGAAATTGTCCTCGACGGTTTGTGAGGGACACATTCGATATTGTTCGCAGCGGGATTCATGAAACTTGAAATGCAATTTGTCTAGAAATATATATATAAAAAAAACGAAAAAAATGTTAAATTGTTATAAAACATTATTAAAAAAGAATTTAAAAGAATATGTTTGAGATAATAAAAAGTGTTATTCTAAAATATTCACTGCCATCTATGAAATAAGACAGGAATTGTGAATTTAAATTTTACAGGAAACTGTAAATTTTTCATTAATGATTTTTACTTAAATAATTATCACCTTCATAACGTGGGATTCAATCTTTATTGGAAACGGATTAATATTAAACATTCTATTTCATGTCTTACACGTTTCGGTCATTTAGAACATCCTCAGGATAAAATCTTATAAAAATTGTGTGTTTTATTACCATTAAACAAATATTATCCCAAACTTTGTCGATGAAAAGAATAATAAGCTTCAAAATGTCAATTATTACCATACTATTCACCGGGAAATTAAAAAAAGCTATTTTTCTACCAGTATACAGCGTCAATTCGCAGAGATATCAAAAATTTTTATTAAAATAATCGATTTTAAATCAAATTTTAAACAAATTTTATCCGAAACATTTTTCGATAAAAATATTAATGTGAAAACCGTCCTCTTCAGAGGGAAATTAAAATTATGTTATTTCGAAAAATGGTATTAACAAAAATTGTTTATTATTGAATTCTGTACAAACATTGTTTATAAAAAATTTTGATATTATTGATAATTATTAAGATAAAAAGAATAATAAACTTCAAAATGTCAATTATTACCATACTATTCACCGGGAAATTAAAAAAAGCTATTTTTCTACCAGTATACAGCGTCAATTCGCGGAGATATCAAAAATTTTTATTAAAATAATCGATTTTAAATCAAATTTTAAACAAATTTTATCCGAAACATTTTTCGATAAAAATATTAATGTGAAAACCGTCCTCTTCAGAGGGAAATTAAAATTATGTTATTTCGAAAAATGGTATTAACAAAAATTGTTTATTATTGAATTCTGTACAAACATTGTTTATAAAAAATTTTGATATTATTGATAATTATTAAGATAACCTCAAAAATATATATACATATACAGGGTGTATCTGAATGACTGTAACAAACTTCAAGGGGTGATTCTTTAGTGAATTTTAAGGGTACTTTGATATATGAACCATGGGCGACTTCGGCTCCCCTAAGGAGCTACACCCCTCCAAAAATGGCGGAAAATTTTAGTTTAATTTGTTTTTCTCAAAAACCATAAACGCTAGGAAAATGAAATTTGGGGAATATGTTTAACTCATAATAGGGACAATAATAGAGACAAAAAAGTTTTAGGATGCAGTCATTTAGATACACTCTGTATACATATTAGGTAATTCTCAACTTATAGGCATAAATTTTAAACAATTTCAATATCTTTTTAAATTTTATTTTGTTAACAAACATATAAAATTAAATTAATTTACATTAAAGCATTTCCATTTTGAACATGAACAGTTTTTAAAATAGCCTGAATTTCTTGAAGATTTTTTCTGGCTTGTTGACAAATTTTCCCTTCGGGTAACTCGATCGGTTCGTGTTTTAATATTTCGACAACTTCTTTAAGAATTTTCTCCGAATCCAAAAGCGAAGCCTTCACGTCATTTGGCTCCTCAAAACTATGATTTTCAACTTTTCGCCGTCCCATTTCGGCGATAGCCGCGTGAAGTTCAAAAAGAACCACGCCTAAAATTCGCTTTTCAGCCGGAACTAAAATCCGAACGACTTCCAATAATTGATTACAAATTTTCGTTTTAAATTCGAGATCCGAATCGGATACTTCGGATAACGGGGGATTTTCACCGATTACTTGGCACAAAGCAAATTTTACGTCGATTAAGTGATAATGATTTTTTGATAAATATTTTTCGGATTCACGGATGAAGTTTTTGCAAATGCTTATGACCCCTTTGGGCATCGTTTGGAGTTGTTTTCCGATGTTTTCGAGGATTTCGAAAATTAATCTTTCGGACATCTTGAAATTGCATAATCCGCAACTCCATAAAGTATCGAAATTTTTTTCCTCCTCCAAGAAACTTTTTGGGAGAACTAATCCTTTACAATTTTCATTTTGGCATTTCATCGCGGAAAAAAATGTTCCTAATTCGCTCGAATCCGAACATCTTAAGCATTTACACCAAAAAAATTTCGTTTCGTTTAAATGATGTCGCCGATTCGGGGTTCCCCATAAAGGATCTGTGTAACATATACTTAAATGATCTCCTTTTTCTATTTTGATTCCTGCGGATATTAAAATTTCGCCGTTTGAAGTGAAACTTTTGCAACAATTTGCGCGACAACTGTGTTCGAATAATGAGCATTGTTCGTAGATGGCGACGTGAGGCGGTTCGTTTAGCGGCACCTCGTGGCCGTTTACCATAACTATCCCACAAACTTTAAGGATTTCTTCGTCGGTGAACGAATCAATTTTATAAAATCGTTTTATGAATTCCACGATGTGGTGTTTGTCGTTTATGTAAGAAAATGTTTTCTTGCGGTCTTCTGAGTGACACTCAAGTTGTTCTATTTTCGCCCAAATGTGTGGGAGGAATTGTTTTTGGTATAAACAGCGTAAAATTATGATGCTTTGATAACTTGGGTGGGTTATATTAAAATTGTTTATTGAAACCTAAAAAAAAAATATTTCTGTTAAAAAATAAAAAATTTCATTCAACAATTTTGTTATAAATTGAAACGATCTTAATAAGGATCAAAAATGCTTTAATTTGATACCAAACATGATATATTTGGGTTAAAAAATAAAAAAGTTTGTTTAGAAACTGTCAAATGTCAAAATTAAATAATGAATTTATGATAAATGTTGAAATGATCTTAATAAGAATCAAAAATGCTTTAATTTGATACCAAACATGATATATTTGGGTTAAAAAGTAAAAAAGTTAGGTTAGAAACTGTCAAATGTCAAAATTAAATATAACGATTTTTTGATAAATATTAAAATGATCGTAATAAGGATCAAAAATGCTTTAATTTGATACTAAACATGATATATTGGGGTTAAAAAAATAAAACAATTAGGTTAGAAACTGTCAAATGTCAAAATTAAATACAACGATTTTTTGATAAATATTGAAATGATCTTAATAAGAATCAAAAATGCTGTAATTTGATACCAAATATGATATATTTGGGTTAATAGGTAAAGAAGTTAGCTTAAAAACTGTCAAATGTCAAAATTAAATATAACAATTTTTTGATAAATATTGAAATAATCTTGATAAGAATCAAAAATGCTTTGATTTGATACCAAACATGATATATTTGGGTTAAAAAATAAAAAAGTTAGGCTAGAAACTGTCAAATGTCAAAATTAAATATAACGATTTTTTAATAAATATTACACTGACCTTAATAACAATCAAAAATGCTTTAATTTGATATTATACACGATCTGGTTATGTTAAAAAATAAAAAAGTTAGTTTATAAACTGTCAACTGTCAAATAATCGCCATTTTTTTGTTAAAAATTAAGATATCTCGATAACGGTTGAAGATAAATAAGTCGAGTTTGGGTTCATTTTAAAGGATTTTTAATTTTCTATCGATTAACATAAAAAAAACAGCTGTATAACCTAAAATTTTTTTGTATCGGATGTATAAGAATAAAAAACTTAGGTTAAAAACTGTCAGATGTCAAAATTAAATAACGACATTTGATAAATATTGAAAAGGTCTTAATAAGGATCAAAAATGCTTCTACTTGATACCCAACATAATATGTTTGGGTTAAAAAATAAAAAAGTTAGGTTAGAAAAGGTCAAATGTCAAAATTAAATAACGTCTTTTTCATAAATATTGAAAAGATTTTAATAAGGATCAAAAATGCTTTAATTTGATGCCAAACATGATATATTTAAGTTAGAAAGTAAAAAAGTTAGGTTAGAAACTGTCAAATGTCAAAATTAAATATAACGATTTTTTGATAAATATTGAAGTGATCTTAATAAGGATCAAAAATGCTTTAATTTGATACCAAATATGATATATTTGACTTAAAATGTAAAGAAGTTAGGTTAGAAACTGTCAAATGTCAAAATTAAATATAATGATTTTTTGATAAATATTGAAATTATCTTAATAAGAATCAAAAATGCTTTAATTTGATACCATACACGATATGTTTATGTTAAAAAATAAAAAAGTTAGGTTATAAACTGTCAACTGTCAAATAATCGCCATTTTTTTGTTAAAAATTAAGATATCTCGATAACGGTTGAAGATAAATAAGTCGAGTTTGGGTTCATTTTAAAGGATTTCTAATTTTCTATCGATTAATATAAAAAACAGCTGTATAACCTAAAATTTTTAAACCTAAAAAACTTAGGTTAAAAACTGTCAGATGTCAAAATTAAATTTGATAAATATTGAAAAGGTTTAATAAGGATCAAAAATGCTTCTACTTGATACCTAACATAATATGATTGGGTAAAAAAATAAAACAATTAGGTTAGAAACTGTCAAATGTCAAAATTAAGTATAACGATTTTTTGATAAATATTGAAATTATCTTAATAAGGATCAAGAATGCTTTAATTTGATAACAAACAGGATATATTTGGGTAAAAAAAAGTTAGGTTAACTGTCAAATGTCAAATAATCGCCATCTTTTTTTGCTAAAAAATAAGATATCTCGATAACGGTTAATGATAAATAAGTCGAGTTTGGGTTCATTTCAAAGGATTTTTAATTTTCTATCGATTAATGTAAAAAAAAGAACACCTTTGTAACTAAAAAAAATCCTTATTAAATTATCCATTACTAGGCTCCACTGTACTTTAGTGGAAAAACATTTTTAACTTACTTTATCGCCTCTTTTAATCGTATAAGAACATTCGGGGATATGACTCGGTGAATTTTGACAGAGGTCGCTGCACATCGGCCAGCCGCATTTTGGACAAGGTTTTTGCGTTTTCGCGGTGACAATTTTTCCACACCCCAAACAAACCGGAACCGTTTGTTGGGCGGGACCCCAAATTAATGGGGACTCTTTTAAGATTACATCCCCGGGATTTAACGGCTTCGTTGCCACCAAATATCTTCCTAAAACATCATCTTCACAAACCTAAAAAAAAACTTATTTAAATTAATTTTTGTATTAATTTTTTTGTTACCTTGAAAGGTTTGCAATATTTTTTATGACTCTTCCATCCCAATTTTTGATGCTCCCTGCTACAATAATGCACGGAATGACAACCGGCACATCTTTGGGGGGCTTTTTTTTGGCAAACGGCGCATTTTGGCACATCGGACATTGCTTAAAAAAATTTTATATCTACAAAAAACCAAATCATTTTCTGTAGGTGTGGCGATTATTTACGATTTTGAACTGCGTCCAAAACGGTGACGCAACTTTAAAACCGCGCGGTGATCTCGAGATGGGTCGTAGGTGTGACTAATTTTAAAGTTTACCTTATTATTTTCTGTTTTTCGTACTATTTATTTCACTTCCTCAACAAAACGATTTCAAATAACTTTATTAATCATGCAAGAAATTATAATTAAATTAATTTAAAGTTTAAATCTTAGATTTTTACAAGCTACATCTAAACCGGCTTAGAACTAACTAACACAGTTTTAAAACCGGCACACCGTGTTCTAAAGATGAGATCAAGCGAAAATAGAATCTCACCTTTTACTCGTACCACCAACGGAACGATTAACCCGTTTAATTGAGATATTAATTAGAGAAACTTTTTCAGCTTGGGCTCTACATAATCTATTTACATGTTTAATCGCGAAAATTACAAACATCTGTTTTGGAATGAATTATGTATATTAAGTGCTCATCTGTGAAACGAATGATTCATCAAGCAAAATAAAAACAAATGTCTGCGTCTATTTTAAGTGATATACGCCGACGTCCAAAAGAAAAAAAATAATATTTAGAAAAATGTTTCTTTTGGCACACGCTGTACATTCATAAAATCGCAATGTAGTAAACGTACAGTGACGTACAAATGTTATTGTGTAATAATTGTAATAAAGATGCAATTTTTATTGCGGCGTTCGGTTTATTTTCAATAAGAACTATGAATTATGAGTTTCAAAATGATGTTTTTGATTTTAAGACGTTATTTTGGGAGGGATTTTTTTTTAATAAAAAACTAAATCATTAAAAATTTTTTTTTATTGTTTAGGAACTTTACCAAGAATGGAAGTTTGTGCCAAAAGAATAAGCAAGAAAAAAGGCTATCAACAGGAAGTTCATAAATTATCAAGTCCCTCCCAACAACTTAACATATCACGCAAGATTTAAAGACATTAATTACCACCTGCAATTTCGTGCTGATTTTCAACTTCCAAGAGGAGCGCTATCACTAATTTTGAAGCTATTTTCTGCACATAAGACCTAATTAGGTATGTTATTAAATAAATATCTCATATTACTGTTTAAACTTCATTAATAATGTTTTTAGGTTCGTTTTGGTAAAGTTGAAAAATCGTTCTTTTTTGCCATGACACCACAACTTGATTCCAGACGATACAACTTTACTTTTAGACGACGCAGATGTAACATCTTCGATCCAAAAGCTTCAGGTGAGTATTATCTTGTCAAAAACATTACAAAGAGAAAAAAATTCTCTGCCCACGCAACCAAGTCAGGAATATGTGTTAAATAAACATGTTAGATTGTTCTTCTAATTTTGACATGGAACCTAACCTTATATCGTCCATTATATTTGTGTTCATTTAATACCTCATGCACTTGCTTTATATAGTAGCTTTGATATTGCATATTAAGGTGCAATATCAAAGCGGGTGAACAAGAAATGTTTGAAGATTATTATTAGAGAAGGTAACAAATTTTGCTAAACATCTAACTCAAGCGGCAGTTGCTTGTGTCCAACTCAACCTAATCCCTATATTTCTGTTCCATACATTATCACCAGGGTACGGAACTTTTGTAACAAAACGATACGATTTCTCCCCTCCACTCGTTCCCAGAAAATCTTGATTAAAAGAACACCATACTGTTCAGTGGGAAATTAAAATTTCAAGTTAGAAAAAAATTGTGTTAACAAAAATTGTTCCTGAGACAATTCTAAACAAATGTTATCAACATTTTTTTTTGATTTAATCAATAATTAAGGAGATACCTCAAAATAATAATTTTTCCGTTTTTATATATAATTATACTTAGATGCTTAATTAATAGAGATGTAAAAATTTTTTATTAAGATAATTGATTCAAAATCGAAATTGAAACAAATTTTATTTAAAACATTTTTTGATAAAAACAATAATTATTGAGATAATTAATTTTGATAGCATACTATTCAGAGGGAAATTAAAATTTCAAGTTAGCAAAAAATTGTATTAACAAACACTGTTCCTGAAGTAATTCTAAACAAATTTTGTTAACAACATTTTTTGATTAAATCAACAATAAGGATATAACCTCAAAAATATTAATTTTTGTAGCATACTGTTCAGTGGGAAATTAAAATTTCAAGTTAGAAAAAAATTGTGTTAACAAAAATTGTTCCTGAAACAATTCTAAACAAACTTTGTTAACAATTTTTTTTGATTTAATCAATAATTAAGGAGATAACCTCAAAATAATAATTTTTCCGTTTTTATACATAATTATACTTAGATGCTTAATTAATAGAGATGTAAAAATTTTTTATTAAGATAATTGATTCAAAATCGAAATTGAAACAAATTTTATTTAAAACATTTTTTGATAAAAACAATAATTATTGAGATAATTAATTTTGATAGCATACTATTCAGAGGGAAATTAAAATTTCAAGTTAGCAAAAAATTGTATTAACAAACACTGTTCCTGAAGTAATTCTAAACAAATTTTGTTAACAACATTTTTTGATTAAATCAACAATAAGGATATAACCTCAAAAATATTAATTTTTGTAGCATACTGTTCAGTGGGAAATTAAAATTTCAAGTTAGAAAAAAATTGTGTTAACAAAAATTGTTCCTGAAACAATTCTAAACAAACTTTGTCAACAATTTTTTTTGATTTAATCAATAATTAAGGAGATAACCTCAAAATAATAATTTTTCCGTTTTTATACATAATTATACTTAGATGCTTAATTAATAGAGATGTAAAAATTTTTTATTAAGATAATTGATTCAAAATCGAAATTGAAACAAATTTTATTTAAAACATTTTTTAATAAAAACAATAATTGTTGAGATAATTAATTTTGATAGCATACTATTCAGAGGGAAATTAAAATTTCAAGTTAGCAAAAAATTGTATTAACAAACACTGTTCCTGAAGTAATTCTAAACAAATTTTGTTAACAACATTTTTTGATTAAATCAACAATAAGGATATAACCTCAAAAATATTAATTTTTGTAGCATACTGTTCAGTGGGAAATTAAAATTTCAAGTTAGAAAAAAATTGTGTTAACAAAAATTGTTCCTGAAACAATTCTAAACAAACTTTGTCAACAATTTTTTTTGATTTAATCAATAATTAAGGAGATAACCTCAAAATAATAATTTTTCCGTTTTTATACATAATTATACTTAGATGCTTAATTAATAGAGATGTAAAAATTTTTTATTAAGATAATTGATTCAAAATCGAAATTGAAACAAATTTTATTTAAAACATTTTTTAATAAAAACAATAATTGTTGAGATAATTAATTTTGATAGCATACTATTCAGAGGGAAATTAAAATTTCAAGTTAGCAAAAAATTGCATTAACAAACACTGTTCCTGAAGTAATTCTAAACAAATTTTGTTAACAACATTTTTTAATAAAAACAATAATTGTTGAGATAATTAAAATTTAAAATAAATGTCAAAATCAACATTTTAATCTTTTATAATGACATTTTAAATCTTAAGTTGGCAACAAATGCTCGAACTTAATAGTTATCCGTTAAATCTGACACTTCAAAAAGTCAGGTTTGACATTTAACCTATAAAATTGTAATAATGTTATAATTTGTTTTAATAAGTATGTTTAAACACAAGATTATAAGTTGAAGTTGGAATAAGGGACTAAAAAAAGGTTATTATAGAAATTTCTTTATTTATTTTTGAAAATTTGAACTTTAAACTTTGAAAACGCCATAAATATGAGGTATTTACGATTTCTCGTTCAAATGTAACACCAATAAATATTACCGTCGTAAATCTCTTCTTAGGAAAAAAGTTTTTACATATCGGGTGGTCTCCTGAAAGGTCTCCTTTCAGAGCGGGTTTCCCGGAATAAGTTTTCGTACGTCACGTTTCTAAACACGAAATTCTAAACGCGACCAAGAAGACATCCTACCAGCAGAAAACGTGTGGAAAGATACACAAACACAGATATTCCCAGTTTTCAAAAACGAGAATAAGAAAATACCCGTAGATAAATAATTTACGAATTTTAACTCTTATTTTGCGATTTACAGCTTCCTTTTTGGCACAACTTTTGGTCCATTTCCAACGTTTCTCGTTTTACAAAGATAAAAAAATGCGAAAATTTTTGTTTTTAAATCAAAAGAAGATTTATCCGATGACAGAAGAGACAGAAAAAGACTCTTTACCGTCGAAAATTGGTTGGACACGATATCAATTTCATTTCTGAAACATTGGATTTCATCCAAAGAGCTGTCTCTATTGTATTTTTGGTTCCTCACAAACAAAATTGCTAAAAACGGTTATCGCAAAAGAAAATTTCTAACTTTTCCACAAACTCATAAAGGAAAGTCGTAAAAAAGCACTCAAAACATTCGTAATAATTTTAAAATAAAAATCTCAATCAACGAAGAAATAATTTTTTTTGAATTAAAAAATCAAATAAAATAAAATTCGGAGATAAATAAAAATTAAAGATGCAGCGGCGCAACATCGCAGATTCCGCGAGTATCCGAAAATAAAGCTTTTAAGAACTGGCAGCTTCTACTCCGGTTTTAAACTGAGAATAACCGAGTCGCGTTGACAGTCGCGTTTTCAAAATCGAAATCGTTGTGCGAAAAAACAACTAATTCATCACCAAAAGAAAAAAAATAAAATCAATTTTATCTCATTAAATCATGAGTAGCAGAAAAAAAGTTAGTGATTAGTTCGTGTTCTTTTTAAAAACTTTTTTTCTTTAAATTTTCATAATTTCAGAGAAGTAAATGTTCGAAAAGTAGATCAAAAAGCGTGTCGAGTTTAAACGGTGAGCGTTTTGAAGAAGAAAAAATTAACCCAAACGAAGATGTTAACAACGACAGTTTTAACATAAAAACATCAAAAATTATGGGAAGGTAAAAAGTGTTAATATAATTTAAAATTGTTGTTAAACTTATAAAAGTCATAAATGTATTTTCAGTCCAAAAACTTGCAACCATTTTAACAACGCGTTCGAAAGTCGTAAAAACGAAAAACCTATAATATAAATTTCGCACACTTTAAGTTCGTTTTTACATGAACAAATAGGAAGGAGAACAATATCAATAGGAATAATGCCAGGAAATTTAGCGTTGTAAAACAAAAGGGCTATTTATAAATGAAATAAACCGATAAACACGAGTTTATTTCATTTAAAATGTCTTGTTTCTTTAAATTACAATATAAATGTAATAATAATATAAATTTTCAAATATCTGAAATATCATTCTATGATAAGAATTTGAAATATTCAAAGCTTCAAGTTTGACTTTAACTCTTTGTGTCCCAAGAAGTCAAACATTTTTAAACTTTGTGATGGAATTAAAACGCTATTGAAACTTTTATTGCTTTAGAATAAGTCTCATTCCTTAATTTCAATAAATACGGCATCCAGGAATTTTTAAATTAGCATCTTTTTTGACACTTTTAGGTTATTCGAAAATGTGAGTTTTGTTTCAACATTTTTTTTCTCAATATTTTTCCAATCCAACCCAACAATTATTATACATCATTTTAAAGAGAAAGCTTTGAGCTTTAATTTAGAATAAGTCTCATTCCTTAATTTCAATAAATACGGCTTCCAGGAATTTTTAAATTAGCATCTTTTTTGACACTTTTAGGTTATACGAAAATGTAAGTTTTGTTTCAACATTTTTTTTCTCAATATTTTTCCAATCCAACCCAACAATTATTATACATCATTTTAAAGAGAAAGCTTTGAGCTTTAATTTAGAATAAGTCTCATTCCTTAATTTCAATAAATACGGCTTCCAGGAATTTTTAAATTAGCATCTTTTTTGACACTTTTAGGTTATACGAAAATGTAAGTTTTGTTTCAACATTTTTTTTCTCAATATTTTTCCAATCCAACCCAACAATTATTATACATCATTTTAAAGAGAAAGCTTTGAGCTTTAATTTAGAATAAGTCTCATTCCTTAATTTCAATAAATACGGCTTCCAGGAATTTTTAAATTAGCATCTTTTTTGACACTTTTAGGTTATACGAAAATGTAAGTTTTGTTTCAACATTTTTTTTCTCAATATTTTTCCAATCCAACCCAACAATTATTATACATCATTTTAAAGAGAAAGCTTTGAGCTTTAATTTAGAATAAGTCTCATTCCTTAATTTCAATAAATACGGCTTCCAGGAATTTTTAAATTAGCATCTTTTTTGACACTTTTAGGTTATACGAAAATGTAAGTTTTGTTTCAACATGTTTTTTGTCAATATTTTTCCAATCCAACCTAACAATTATTATACATCATTTGAAAGAGAAAGCTTTGAGCTTTAATTTAGAATAAGTTTCATTCCTTAATTTCAATAAATACGGCATCCAGGAATTTTTAAATTATCATCTTTTTTGACACTTTTAGGTTATACGAAAATGTAAGTTTTGTTTCTTTTTTTTCTAGATATATAGTCGCATCAAAAGATTTAAATCCCGGAGAAATAATTTTAAGCGAAGCTCCTTTAGTTGTTGGACCATGCGCCGGGTGCAAAGTTATTTGTATCGCTTGTTATCAACTTTTAGAAAACTCAAATTACGCCAAGTAACAAAAAAATTATTTAAAAAAATCACCAAATTAAATTAAAACGTTTTTTTTAATTAAATAGATGTTTTGAATGTGGTTGGCCTCTATGCAAATCGACTTGTAACGGAATTAACAAAAAATACGGCCACACTCAAGAAGAATGTTTAATTCTAAAATCATCAAAATCAGAAAAATTTTTAAACTACAAAGATTTCGACCGCTTACAAGAAAATTTCCAAGCAATCGTCCCTTTGAGATGTTTAATATTAAAAGAGAGCGACCCAAAAACTTTCGAGAAAATTGCCCAGATGGAATCGCACGAAACCATTCGAAAATGCATCCCAGATTTATGGTCTTTAGACAAAATTAACGTCATCGATCGGATCCGTTTAGATTGGGGGTTAAAAGAATTTTCCGAGGAGGAAATTCACAGAATTTGCGGAATCTTAGAAGTTAATTGCTTCGAAATTGGGCAAAACTCAGTTAGTATCCGAGGATTATATCCACAAGCTTTTTTAATGTCTCATGATTGCATCCCAAATACCTCACATAGTGATGAAGAGGATTTTAAATTAACTGTGAGGGCGTCGGTGAAGATTTCGAAAAATCAACCGATTACTTTAAGTTATGCTTATACTTTACAGGTAATTCATTAATAATTACTCCCTCTGTCTCAAATTATGGAATACATTTTCCTAATATCTTTAAGATTACGTTTTTTTTATGTCTTAATCGATAATTTATAAATAATTTTTTTTATTCGAAATAGATGTTGGGAAATGAAAGAAAATTAAAAATGCTTTAAAATGAGTCCAAACTCGATGTATTTATCTTTATTTATTGCTAATATATCAATTAAATAAAAAAAGTTTGACAGTTGACAGTTCTTAACCTAACTTTTTTAATTTTTAACGGAAATATGTCGAGTTTGGTATTAAATTAACGGATTTTTAATGATCTTTAAGATTACGTTTTTTGTTATGTCCTTAAATCGTTAGTTTTTTTTTAATTATTTTTTTATTCAAAATAGATGTTGGGAAATGAAAAAAAATTAAAAATGCTTTAAAATGAGTCTAAACTCGATGTATTTACCTTTATTTATTGTTGATATGTCAATTAAATAAAAAAAAGTTTGACAGTTGACAGTTCTTAACCTAACTTTTTTAATTTTTAACGGAAACATGTCGAGTTTGGTATTAAATTAACGGATTTTTAATGATCTTTAAGATTACGTTTTTTGTTATGTCCTTAAATCGTTAGTTTTTTTTAAATAATTTTTTTATTCAAAATAGATGTTGGGAACTGAAAGAAAACTAAAAATGCTTTAAAATGAGTCCAAACTCGATTTATTTCCCTTTATTTGTTGCTAATATATCAATTAAATAAAAAAAATTTGACAGGTGACAGTTCTTAACCTAACTTTTTTAATTTTTAACGGAAATATGTCGAGTTTGGTATTAAATTAACGGATTTTTAATGATCTTTAAGATTACGTTCTTTGTTATGTCCTTAAATCGTTAGTTTTTTT